TCTGCATTTTGACTGCTGCCGTACTAAAGGTTTCGTCTTTAGCCTTTGATCATCGTCAAGTTCGATTCAATTCATTTCTTTAAACTAATCTACCTTTACATGGTAATTTAATACAAGCAACATTTTACTAGTAAGTTTTGTTGTGGAGATTGAGAGAGAAAGGGACTTGAATTTTGGGAGTGGAATTTACAAGGTGTTGAATCAATGTCACCTTTTCTTCTGAGTCCTTCACTGGTTTTTCCATTATATATTTCAGGAGAAGATTCAAATATAAAAAGAAAGATGTATAGACTGGATATGCTCTAATGATATTTTCTTAACATCATTACCCAGATTCATCAATTTACAGTTCGTTAGTTTTTCACTGTTATATGGCAATTGAATTATCTGATGAACTAACTATATATAGTTTCTTCTCTGTGCTGTGTCCTTCACAAGAAGACTATTCTGGTAATGTGCTCTAAAAGCTTATGACTGATTTTATTTTAGTATAAGTTTGTCCTATATATTATATAGGTGATACATATACACTAATTATAATATGATCTAAATATAAGGTTAGACTCGGACTTATAACTTTTATAAAGGAAAATATCAACAATTTAATTAAAAAATAATAGAGTTTATAAGCCAATTAGAGTTAAGATAAATTATTTATTTATAGCCATTTTTATCTACTGTTCTCATAAATCAAAGTAATTTCCAAAAAAAATTTATTAAAAGCTAAAAAATTTCCAAGAATATTCTCTATAATATTCTATTTTCCTATTGCATTAATGTCATTCAATTTTTATAGAAAAAAATATTTAATAATTGATTACTATAGCTTCCAATTTGGTTTCTATTTTCCAAAATAACCTACATGATCCTGTATTGGTATAGGGGTAAACCTCCATAATACGACGTAGTTTCAGTGTGCAGATCAGGATACAGCCACATTTAAGACCTTTTCAACGTGGAAAAAGATTTGTGAAAGAGAAATCGCGTTTACCAGTTTTATACAAAGAAACAAACGACCAGATCAGAGGGAGAGAAGAGAGAAATAAAAGAGAAGAAAATTGTTTTACAGAGAGAACGAGATGGTGTTAAATAGCTCTGTGGTGGTGAGGATTGCGAATCTATCAGCGAATTTGTGTCAGTACATAGCATGCAATCCGGAGAGATTGAGCAGCGACCAAGTCTTGTACCTTCTCTTCTGCGTCCCTCTCCTTGAGTTTCGCCGTTTTACTCTCTCCTTTTTATCCTACTTGTGCTTTGATCCTCACGCATTCACCTCCTCAGATTCCTCTTCTTCTTCTTCCGACGACGACGAAGACTATTCCCACTCTGATTGATTGCCTGTTTACTTTTCATAGTCAGATCTGATATTTGTTTGATTCGGTTCGGATTCGGGTTCGTCGCCCTCCTCTTATGGTTTATGTAAATTTCAAAGACGATATAATTTAAGATTGTGTTATGGCTTTTAATTCGAGAAAAGGTTAATCCATCATTCGGATTTGTTTCTGGTTTCTATTTTCTTTGATTTGGTTAATTATGCGTTTGTCTTGGTGCTTAGTTCTCGTCTGTTTCAGATCTGTGTTTCCTTTGTCATTACTCTCTGTCTAGTCTCTGTGGGTGGAGCTTGTTTGCTGGGTGGGATTAGATTATCCTCCACCGGAATAGGATATCAAGACAAACAAATCCAACAAAGCAGCAGCAGCAGATACGAACAGGTTCTGGTGTTTGGGTATCTGACTCCCACTCAACGACTACATTCTTTTTGTTAGGTACTTATAATGATTTAAAATTTAATTTAATTATTTATTCATAAAAAATTACAGGTTGTGAAATTTTGGAGTTAATTAAACATTTTATTTTTTTTTCTTTCGTTTAATGTTTAAAGACAAAATAGTATGTATACATGGATACCATGCAAATTTTCCAAAATAATTGTTGAAGTTAATGAATTGTAAATTGGTAAAGAATATATTATGATTATGTTTGGTGGTTCAACTTATATATATATGTATTAATTATGTTAGATTTATGTACTAATGATGTAACATTAATAAATATGTAATTTTCTAATATGTACACCCATAACCTAAGATTTGTACTTACAATTTTATAATTTAAGATTTTAACTTATAATTTTATAATTAGCATGTGAAAAAATAATATATATATATGTATTAGGATCCTTCTATACAAACTATTGAAAGAGAGTTTTTGCTTTAGTAAAAAGTTATGTTATTAATTAAGTTTATTTGAGTATCTTTAACAACCAATAGTAATGTAATATTTTCTTAATATATTCACATAAAATGTACAACTTACGACTTGAACATGCCCTTTTATAGTTAGTACGAGGCAAAGTAAAGAAAATAGAATTGTTTTTTTTAGTGAAAATTAAAAAAAAAAAAGAATAATTTAATTCATGAGAAATGTTGAATGAAGATGCATATCTTTCTCGTATATGATGAAATAATTATCGAAGTAGTTAAAATTTTACAACCAAACAACTTTATGAAAATAATTAAAATTTACAACTAAATATCTTGATGAAAATAGAACAAACTATTTAACTTCAATTGTAATGGAGCACAAAGAAATGAAAATGAACAATATATATATATATATATATTGCTAAGTGAAGGGATATAAAAGAACAAAAAAGGTGAAGACTAGTATCCCATTCTATGTGCCTAAGCAATATCGCTAAGTGGGTCAAATCACTTGGGATGTGAGACAGTTTGATAAGATCATTCAGAGTTAGATGGACCAAATAAGTAAGGTGGTAGCAAACATTATTCTCTAATGGACATGAGAGACTTTGGCATTCAAATATTTTCTTATTAGATCAAAGAGCCTTGACTCATCCCCCATGCCATTACACCTACTGTCAACACGACCCTTTAACTGTGTTTAAATTGGGAAGAGTTAACCTCAACTAACATTGCAGAAGTTATAATTTTGTGCAATATGGAGTCCCTCCATGACTCACTAATCTCGGCCTAGATCAGGTTATTAATGCTGATATTAACTATAGAGCTTGTAGTTCAATAATTATTACCATCTTTAAGGAGGTCGCGACTTGTTAAGTTTGCAGCAAGGTTTTGTGAAGAAGAGTCAAGTTTTCTATTAAACATAATTGCCTAATATATAGGCGAATAAGTTTACATGGACTTCGAAAATCAAGGTTAAGATATATATAATATATATGCTGTATATATACAGGAGATATGAGGAGATCGCCCAAGAGAGAAGATTACATTCGAGACACATCACTACTCCCCCTCAAGTTGGTGCATGAAGGTTGCGCATACCCAACTTGTGAGACAGGTACTGGAACTGGGATCATCCGAGTGCCTTTGTGAATATATCAGCAACCTGATCGGAGGAACGTACATGTGCTGTAGTGAGACGACTAGCCAGGAGTTGTTCTCGAACAAAGTGGCAGTATATTTCAATATGTTTTGTTCGTTCGTGAAAGACCAGGTCGGAAGCTATGTGTAATGCAGCTTGGTTATCGCAGAACAGATGCATAGGTTGAGTCATAAAAACTCCCAACGAAGCCAAAATGGATTTTAACCAAGATAATTCACATGTGGCTACAACCATAGCACGGTATTCAGCCGCGATGAAGGAACGAGCAACGATAGGTTTTTTCTTGGCCTTCTAGGAGATCAGAGAATTTCCTAACTTGATGAAGTAGCCTGTAGTCGATGGACGAGTGAGCAGGCAACCAGCCCAATCAGAGTCACAGAATGCGGATAGTTGAAGAGAGTTGTCTGCAGGCAAGAAGATATCGTTACCAGGACTACCTTTGATATAGTGTAGGACGCGAAGGACAACATCCAAATGCTTTTGACAAGGTTCATGAAGAAATTGAGATAAAATGTGAACGACATAACAGATGTCGGGCCGAGTGATAGTGAGATAAACAAGATGACCAACTAAGCAGCAAAATCGAGAAGGATCAGCTAAAAGAGGACTGTTGGGGGTTGCCAAAGTGTGATTTTGCTCGATGAGAAAGTCTGCCAGTTTGGAAGCTAGTAAACCAGCTTCAAACAAGATGTCAAGAGCATATTTACATTGTGATAGAAATAGATCAGAGGGTCCACGTACAACTTCGATGCCGAGAAAATATTTTAACTTACTAAGATCCTTAATGTGGAAACACCCATTTAGGCAGCGTTTGAAAGAGGCACAAGCTTCGGGATTGTTTCCGACGATGATCAAATCATCAACATAAAAAAGAACAGAGAAGAAGATACTCTGGCGATGATAAGTGAACAAGGTATGATCAGCATGTGATTGGAAAAAGTTATAGGTGCGTAAGGCGGAGGCCAATTTTGCAAACCAATTTCTGGGAGACTGTCGGAGGTCATATAATGATTTTCGCAAGTGAAAGACCTTATTTGGACTAGAAGTGAGTAACCCAGGGATAGACACATGTATATTTCTTCCTGAAGATCACCATGTAAGAATGCGTTGTATACGTCGAGCTGGTGTAACTCCCATCCTTTGACCACAGCAACAACAAGTAGGGTTCAAACACTGACCAGCTTGGCGACTGGAGCAAAGGTCTCAGTATAATCAAGGCCCTCTACTTGAGTGTCCCCACGAACCATGACACGGGCCTTGTATCTTTCGATGGATTTGTTTGAGTGGTACTTAATCCAAAAGACCCATTTAGAGCTAACGAGTTTCTTTCTAGGAGGAAGATCTTTGATAGTCCAGGTGCCGATTCGCTCCAGAGCAGTAATTTTTTCTTGTATGGCAGCGCACCACTTAGTCATGGGCAGCCTCCGAATAGTGTCGAGGCTTAACGCAAGTGGTAACAGCAGCTAAAAAATGAGTTTGTGCAGTAAAAAACCAATCACAAAAGACATAGTTGGCTAGTGGGTACTAGGTGTCTGTTGAATGACTTCCACTGGGTGTCAAAAAACGAGCCGAATGACAGACAAAATCCTGAAGTACGACGGGGGGGCGCTTGGTTCTCTTACCACGACCAAAATCTGTCCCGGAAACATCGACTGTAGGTGAGTAAGGGAATGTGACTCAAACGAAAATGGAGAAGGGGCAATGCTGATAAGAGCTCCCCCTGTCGAGGAAACTAAACTCGAATAATGCCAATCCCATTGAGTTGCAGAAGGAAAAGGAGAGGGAGACGAGGATTGCGACCTCGACTTTTTATCGGAGTGAATATGAACAAAGGGGAAGATAGTTTCTTTGAAGAGGACATTCCGAGATATGAAAACTATAAAAGTTTCCAAGTCCAGTGCCTTCTAACCCTTTTTGCTGTATGGATATCCGAGGAAGACACAACGGCGGCCGCGAGGAGCAAATTTGTTGGTTGCTCGAGGATTTCCAACAACATAATAGAGACATCCAAAAACTCGAAGATGGTTATATGCATGGGAGATGGAAAACAAAATTTCATGTGGACTTTTGCCATTGAGAACATAGCTAGGAGTGCAATTAATAAGATGAGCAGTTGTGAGGACACATTCTCCCCATAGCTCAAGAGGAAGATTGGCTTGAAAGCGTAGAGCTCGTGCAACTTCAAGGATGTGTCGGTGTTTTCGTTTCACCTGACCATTCTGCTGGGTGTATCTATTAGCAATGTTTGATGGAGAATACCAGCTGAAGCGTAAAATGACTGCATCATTTGAGACTCAAATTCGGTCCCATTATCACTCCGGATGATCTTGACAAATTTTTTGAATTGTTATTGGGTCATTGAGCAGAAATTGTGAAGTAAACTATTGGCCTGACTCTTATCAGTTAGTAAGTAAACCCTTACTGCTCGACTACAATCATCAATAATGGTTAGAAAATGACGAGCTTTGGAAAGTGTACAAACACGATACGGTCCCCAAATGTCACAATAAATTAATTCAAAGGATTCGTTTGCATGAGTACAACTAATCAAAAATTAAAAACGTGTTTATTGCCATTACAACATACATCATATAAATTATTATCTTTTGAAAAATTAACATTAACACCAGGAAGATGAAGTAGCTTTCGGCGGAAGGGATGACCCAGCAGTTGATGCAGAGAGAATAAGATTCCAAAGTAGTCACAGCAGCAGCGGTAGCCACCAGTATAGGACGGAAAAGGAAAACACCCTTGTGTGGTTTATCCAGACCAATCAGGTTCTTTGTAAAACGGTCTTATATAGCACACATATGAGGATCAAAGATTATAATATAATTTGAATCATTTATCAGTTGCTCAACAGAGAGTAAATTGATCGAGAGGTGTGGAACAAATAAAACATTGCGAATGAGAAAACTCGGGTGAAGCAACACCATTCCCTCCTTTACCACCGATGTTTGCATGCCATCAAGAAATCCTACTAGAGTTGGAGCTATGTCATGAATGGCAAAAAATAAAGCTATATTGCCAGTCATATGATGAGAGGCTCAATTGTCAATGAACCAAGATACAGTGGAAAGATCAGCCTTACCAGCTAGTGACTCAGAGGTAGATGGTGGCAGTTCAAGGAGTACAAGTAGGCACTGCATTTGTTCAGGTGTCAAGCCAGTCACATTGGGCAGAGACGGTGCGGCAGGGACAACAGTCTGGCCTGCGACTGCTAAAGCAGTTTGGGACTGTATCTGCTGCTGTTGACCGCAAGTTGATGGATCAAGATTTAGGTGGTGAGGTTTACTTCGGTTGAGTTCGCATACCTATGGGGAAACACCAAGTCGGGTGAAACAACGATCGAATATGTGGCCTAACTGGTGACAGTAGGTGTAGAAGGGACGACCACTTGGAGTGCTGTCTGTAGAGCCACACACGGGTGCAGTTTGATGTGACTTGTCAGCTTGGATAATAAAACCTAGTGCAGGTATGTCATTACGGGTACTAATAACTCGCTGATCAGTTAAGGACAGTGGG